CGTCTAGAGTTTAAGTTCCAAGCCCTAAACCCCCAGCCTGTATAACAACCCCAGACCCTAAACCCTTAAAGCAAACAAAACCCTAAACCCTAAACTCTAAACCCTAAACCCTACACCCGAAACCCTAAACCCTAAACCCTACACCCTAAACCCTGAACCCTAAACTCTAAACCCTAATCCCTAAATCCTAAACCCTAAACCCAAGCCCTAAACCCTAAACAAAACCTAAAACCTAAACCCCAAACCCTAAGCCCTAAAAAGGCGTAAGTCGCGCCGAGATTCCGCGAGGTTCCGAGAGAAGCCGGGGTTGTCCCGAGGATGCGACAGGCTGAAGCACCTGGAAGGTCTCGGGCTAAGGTTTTAGGATTCAGGGGGCTTAGGATTTAGGGTATAGGGTTTAGGGTTTAGGGCTTGGGTTTAGGGCTTAGGGTTGAGGGCTTAGGGCTTAGGGTAAAGGGGTTTGGGTTTAGGGCTTAGGGCTCAGGGTTTAGGGTTTAGGGTTAAGGGCTTCAGGTCCAACTAAGGTTCAGGACGGGGGGCCTTTTCACGAAGTTTAGGTTTCGAAAGGACGATGGTTTTCAACTGGGGTATGGCGACTGCTAAAGAGCACCTTGTTCAAGGCATTTTGACAGGCAAGAGTTTTACACAGGGGCTTGCGGGTTGAAGGCGACAGGACTGTTCCAGATGTGACATTGAAGGGGGGTATGGGGCTGTATCAGCGTCAAGCATTTCGTCAGGTTTCGTAGGGCTTTGCGAACGTTGGATAAGGCTGCTGCAAGATGTGCAGGGGTTTCCAAAGGGTTGAAGACTGTTGTTCAAGAAGGGAACATTCAAGAGCACGTCTCCTTCTGAACAGCTCTTCGCTAAACGGGAACCTATGTCGAGCACTCTCTTGAACAACTACCACGTCAATTAGGCATTCGAGTTTGGGGTTCGGGGCTGAATTTCCGGTGTGTGGGTTTTTTTAGACTCCTGATCAGAAAGCCCGCTCTCTTAAAAGGGCCTGAATTGATCTTGGTATCCCTGTCATAATCCGTTTCGGGTAGGGGGGCTTGTTGATCAGGGGTCTACATCATGGAATTTAGGGCGGTCTGCTCATCCTCTTCCTCCTGTTGCAGGGCGTGGCCTTATGCTCTCCCTTTGCCGTGGCCTTCTTTGGCGGGCTCGGGACCACGAACCCCCTCCAACCGCCTCTTCGAGTCAGCGCCCTGGCGATCCATAGTTTTACACGCAAACATGCGAGTCCCAAGACCAACATTTTAGCAGCCGACGTCAAAACCCAACATACCGCCGGGTATGATTTTTAAACAAAACCTCAACAACCAAGCAGAGCTGCGACGTAAAGATCTTCCTCAGTAGTCAAGACTAGAGGATAACTTACCAAAAGAAGGGGCCAAGACAACAACAATGCGATGCAGACATTGTTCCGGCTCTTGTACTCTTGTACAAGTGCTGGAAAACCCGATCTAGCCCTGCACAGACTTTGTTCAAACGCTCAGGATCCCACACAACTTCGTTCTCCTTTTTATTAAAGGCCTTTCAACCAGAAAACGGTTTTGGGGTTACGTTCCTCTACAATCTGCCTATATGTCTCGGGACCAGGGACTACAAGATAGGGCCTTAAATTGATTGTTAGAATCGCACTTTGGGTCAAATTGAACCTTGCTTTTAGAGCAGTTATAAGTGTTACTGCTTAGTCCGAGCCCTGTATGATGTTTGGTTGCACCTGTCCGCAATCTTCAAAGCCGTCATGACATCATCGGGCAGTTCTTCACCTCGGCATCTCAATTTGAAGCGATGACGGTCTACAACTCGTGAGTCATGAAAGGGTGGAGAATACAGACCTAAATCCTTAACGAACTCCAAAACCCTGAACCTTAAACCCTGAACCCTAACTCCAAACCCCGAACCTTAAACCCTAAACCCAAACTCCAAAACCCTGAAAACCTAAACCCCAACCCTGGTGAATACCAAAACCTCAATCCGTGAACCTCTGAGTGTCAAAACAAGCATAGGAGCTGCTCTCACCGAACTAGGGCTTAGGACTTTCGGGGTAAGGCCATCTCTATGTCGAAAAGTGCAGATGCGCACACATCCTACCCTAAACCCTAAACCCCTAAACTCTAAACCCAGAAACCTAAAGCCATGAACCCTCTAAACTCCCAAGCCCGAAACTCCAAACCCAGAAAAAGAGAAAACCCAAACACATCTGATATAGGAGCTTACTACTGTTGATGATATAAATCCTGCACTACCTTAGGGACCATAAACTATGGGAATTATGGTATAATCCTTATTATGGGAAATGCAGGATTTATATCATCAACCGTATTAGAACCCCGCATGGCAACATCCGACAGAAGCACATGTCCATATTCCTGAAGGGCCTTAAACAGAAACGAAAAACTAATCTGAACCCTACTTCACACAACACCCAACTCCCTCATAAACCCCATCCGTGTAACACCCTGAACCCTAAACCCTGTAATCAATTCTCGAAAACCGGACCCTAAGCCTTACCGCTGGTCCAAAACATCCTGCCTTAAGGAATTCTGCATCGAAACCATCATAAGGAACCCGCAAGCGGAAGGAGTTTTCAGCTACAGGTAGACCCCTGAACCCTAAACCCCAAACCCGAAACCCTAAACCCTAAACCCCAAGCCCGAAACCCCTGAGAGCCCCAAACCCTAAGAGCCCTAAGCCCTAAACCCTAAACCCTAAACCCTAAACCCTAAACCCAAAAACCCTAAACCCTAAACCCCCTAAGAGCCC